AAACAAATGACAAAAACCTATTCAATCTTTCTAGTAGCCAAGGGATAAAATTGAGTGAATGTATTTTAAATGAATCAGATCTAAACTTGAGCTTTAGAAAATCCCACGTAAGTAAAGAGCTTCTGACCTGCAACTGCCTTTTCCTAAGGTCCATTCGACGGCGGGGGTGGACATTATCCACTATGTTCCCATAAAAGTTCCAGCGGACATTGATTTATGCTTCAGCTTGTGCCAGAAAGGATTTAGTGCTGCTTACAAAGTTGTAAGACAAGGTAATGAAATGTGTGAAAATGCAGGAGCATGAAGTGAGGATCAGGGGAGTAAGTTTGACGGAACCAAAGGTGGAGTTGACATCCAGACCGTAAGGCAGAGCCCTTCACACGCATGAAGACTGACCCCAAAACGGGACCTCTGAGCTTTCATGCGGTCAACCCTGTGACATAGATGAAAACAGCCAAAGAGCCACAGGGTCCCTATGAGCAAAAATTAATAGTAAAATATAAAAAGCGGTTTCTTGAGAGATGCAAAAACAGTATTCCTGGTACTAATATTGGAGAGATGTTTTCTGTAAGCCATCTTAGAAGGTGTATTAGGCAATGAGCATGAGGAAGAACATCTTTACGCTCAACCCCGTGACAGGGTCCACCCACACCACATGTGAAAGCTCTGCTTCGCGAGACCTGCGTGTGTAGCCAGAGCGTTGACGCCACATCCCTGGGCAATGTTTACTTCAAGAGGCGGGACTTATGCTTTTGGTTCTTATTTCAAAAATGAAAAATGAGGGGCGCCTGGCTGGTTCAGTCAGTTAAGCGTCCGACTTCAGCTCAAGTCATGATCTCGCGGTTCGTGGGTTCGAGCCCCGTGTTGGGCTCTGTGCTGACAGCTCAGAGCCTGGAGCCTGTTTCAGATTCTGTGTGTGTCTCTCTCTGACCCTCCTCTGCTCATTCTCTCTCTCTCTCTCTCTCTCAGCAATAAATAAAACATTAACATTTGTTAGTATAACCAAAATGGTCTATTAGCAGGGGGTATATCATGCAAGAATCTGTACTTGTAACATTTCTTAATGTCATATGAGTCTTGCCATTTTAGAGCACTTAGGAGGAATTTAAAAGAAAAAGAAAAACATCCTCATCTGAGGACCCCAGGTCAGCTTCGCGTTTTGTGTAGAAGGGAAATCGTAGACAGCAGGGCCAGAAGGAAAATGTTATAACATGAAATGGAGTGTAAACACTATTTACATGGTGTTTAATTCTGGCTTAAATTTTGATTTAAAAATCAGAATGATGCTGTAAAAATGTTAAAGCCTTGCTTTTTAAAAAGTAGGTTATTTAGGGCGCCTGGCTGACTCAAATCAACTAAGTATCTGACTCTTGATTTCTTTTTTTTTTTTTTTTTTTTTTTTAATTTCTAGGAGAGAGAGAAAGAGAGACAGCGTGAGCAGGGGAGGGTCAGAGAGAGGGAGTGACAGACTCTGAAACAGGCTCCAGGCTCTGAGCTGGCAGTCAGCACAGAGCCCGACGCGGGGCTCGAACCCACGAACCGCGAGATCATGACCTAAGCGAAAGTCGGACGCTTAACCGACTAAGCCACTCAGGCGCCCCTCTGACTCTTGATTTCTTATTTCAAAAAAGCTCAGGCCATGATCCCAGGATCATGAGATAGAGTTCTGTATCAGGCTCCATGCTCAGCACAGAGATTCTCTGTCTCTCTCTAAAAAAAAAAATGTAGGTTTAAATTTGGTATCATTTTGATTTTTACTTTCAACTCAAACCCCTTTGGGGTTTTTTTCTTTATTTTTTCTTTTAATTTGAGTAGCATTGACACAAAATGTGACATTAATTTCAGCTGTATAACTCAGTGACTTCATAAGTTTATAGGTTATGCTATGTCAAATCCCTTTAAATAAGAGTAACATAAATGTGTATTTTAGTTGCTAAATATATGAAGATCACAAGGCAATTTTTGTTTAGTAATACAGAAAAAATTAAGAAATCTCAGTAATTTTCTTTTTTAAGTTTATTTATTTTTGAAAGAGAGAGAGAGAAAGAGAGAAAGAGAAGCCCAAGTAGCTCTATGCTGTCAGCATAGACCACCCCCCACCCCGTGCCACAGGGGCTTGATCTCATGACCTTGAGATCATGACCTGACCCAAAACCAAGAGTTGAACACTCAACCAACTGAGCCACCCGGGTGCCCCAGGAATTTTCTTTTTATACTCTAAATTGCTACATATTCTCAGTTGTCAAAAGCAAGTTACATTTCTCTATGAATCATCCTTTTTTTTTTCAGACCCATACACACACACAAAACACTGAAATTATTTTTATTTCATACTATTCATCTTAGTTGCTAATGGAGGCATACCAAAATTATTCCTCATATTTATTTCCCAGTTGGTTTAGCAAACACGTGAAAATTCTAGCCTGGCTCTGGACAACTGTTTAAATATAGCTAAAGAAGCTGAATTGGCTGACTGAATATTTAAAGATGTTACAGAACCGTTTCTTTGTTTGTTGTTATATTTTTCATGGAGTTAGTGGTACTGTGGCTATGATTTTTAAGAGCCTCTATCCATTAGAAATGATGTTGAAATAAAATGACACAACATAAAAGATGTGCTGCAAAATAATAAATGTGGGGGGAAATGCATGAGTTATTAAAAGAGAGAAAGAGAGAACTTTCTGGCCATGTGTTGATAAACATGGAAGCTGAGTAATGAGTGGCCTAGGGAATTCTCCTTTTGTTAAGTTTGAAATTTTCCCTAATAAAAGGCAGAAGCAACAGCAGTAGCAGCTCTGAAGTTTCCATGAGGTTTTTAGAACCTCTTAAAAGGTAAACATGGACTGGGGTGCCTGGGTGGCTCAGTTGGTTAAGCATTCGACTTTGGCTCAGGTCATGATCTCATGATTTGTGGGTTCTAGCCCCGCGTCTGGCTCTGTGCTGACAGCTCAGAGCCTGAAGCCTGCATCGGACTCTGTGTCTCCCTCTCTCTCTGCCCCTCCCCTACTCATGCTCTGTCTCTCTGTCTCCAAAATGAATAAACGTTAAAAAATAAAAAACGTAAACCCGGAGAATCCTGGCTCTGTATAGGTCTCAAGCTCTATTCTAGTCCAACATCTTTGTTCAGCAACTAGGAAGCTGAAACAGAGAGATTGTTGTTTTTGTATTCATTTGGTGTGGTCCAAAGCATCTGCTTTAAAACCACAGTGCCTACAATTCCTGTTTTACTACTGCTATGAACATGGACCTCAGAAATCATGTATCTTGGTTCTTGATTCAAGCACTCCTCTGTAATTCTGTCACAGAGGCTTCAGCTCAGACTCCTGAAGGAAAAAAAGGATTCTGACATTGATAAAGACAGTCAGGAACTTTATTCAAGAAACTATTGCACTGGAGGCTTACAGGAGGGGAGAGAGACAGGGCTTAATTCCGAATCTCACCATGACGCAGGCGTTATCAGTGTCTTCCAAGACCAGACCATCTTGACAATAGCAAATAGAGTATTTCTCATTTGGGGTGTGTGTGTGTGTGTGTGTGTGTGTGTGTGTGTGTGTGTCTTCATATGGCCCTCAGAAGGAAAAAAATTTAAGGATGCTGATAAAGACTCCATCAATGAGTGACAAGAGCAGCAGTGAGAGATACCAGACAGAACCACAAATCTAGGGAGATAAAAATGGAGACATCTGGCATCTCTCATTCGTATGGACAGTTCCCCTTCATTGTCAGCTGTAGATAGCTTGGCTTTGTTGACGACGATAGGCAGCCAGACAGATGATAGATACAGAGACGTGGCAGACCTTTCAAGATTGTCCCTGATTCTAGGAAGTCAGAACCTCATGAAGCTTAAGCATAGGGCCCCTCAGTCCTACTGCCCCGTCTAGGGTTTTGTACCGAATTGCGTACTCGTGATTTTATTCTTCTTTTTTCAAAGAGGCCCCCACAGTACTTGGATCCACCCTTGTATGAAACTGTGAATCTCCAACACAAGAACCAGCCCTTTATTTTTTTTCCCTCCAAAAAAATTGATGCTGATTTCTAGGGAGCATGGCAGCCACAGTGAACATAAGGCATCAGAAGCCCCAGACCCTTTGGTGCAGATCGGAAATGGAAAAGGGGGGTGCCTCGGGCTGCCGGGAGGGGCTGAGGACTGATGTGGGAAGGGATATAAATGTTCTAATGAACGGGTTGGTGAAATTTTACATAACTTCTTTTATATTTAGCGGCTGATTTGTTGTCATTTGGTTCCACAGCACTGTCAATTTAATTTGGGTAATTTTGGAAATAGGAACTCATAAAACCACCTCTTACTTTGAGAGAAGGAAAGTTCTTGGCCTCCCTTTCAAGGAAGGGTGCTCATTGCCATAATGGATGAAATTGAGCTTTGCGCTCATGCAGGCTGAGGGAGCCAAAATCAGAGTTCAACATTTAACTCATGGTTTTAAAAACTGCCAAAAAACAGTGAACTCGCATCTCCGAAGAGTGAAATTTCCTTGTGTTGTACCTAATGCTTCCGGGCCGAACTTAACGCACCTGCTCAGCCATGTCCATTCATAATCATGGCTCACAGAAAATTTGAAAGACAGCAACTGAAACAAACTTACCATTGCAAATAGGCATGATCTTTCATTGCTGAAATGGCATTACCACTAGACAGGTGACTGAGTACTAAGAACTTGAAAATTATTCTTAAAATAGCTGTTGTATGTATAGTTGGTGAATGCCAGAAAATTACTTTCTACCTGTCATTTTCATTTGGGGAAACTTTCTGGAACAATAAGAATGTTTGCCACGTTGATGTGACCAATGATCACACAGGTGCATGTGTTCGTCACGCTGACTGCAAGCCCAATGCAGTTTATTGCGTGTAACTTCGACTCCTTCAAAGAAAACAATTTGTGTGCTAACCTGCAAAATTTTTTTTGGCAGTTTCTTTTTACTTTTGCCTTTTGAAAACATTATAACACATGTGCTGTCTTCTTTGTAATTTTTTCCAATTTTAGGAATTCTTTGATCACGTGAAGAAGCTTTGGGACGATGAAGGTGTGAAGGCGTGCTTCGAGAGGTCCAACGAATACCAGCTGATTGACTGCGCACAATAGTAAGTCAGCTTCTGAGCAAGGCCTGGCCTGTCTGAAGCTACCCGTGCACCCACAGTTAGCTGCCCTCCTAGGGTCAGTGAGCTCTCTTCAGTGTGAGGAACAAAGCATTAACATGTTACTACAGAAATCAGCTTTTAAAATGGCACACATTTGGTAGATGGAAAACTAAAAATCCAATAGGAATCAGAGGCAGGTGTATTCATTTTACCCTGATCAGTGTTTTCAGTTCTGTTCATTTTCTTGCTTTCTATAAAATTACAGGCATATCTGTAAATTAGACTGTACTTAGATATTCATTGTTATATTTTCATTTTGGAGCAGGGTCTCCAAATTAAATTTTAAAATAATATCGGGGCACCTGCGTGGCTCAGTCCATTGAGCATCTGACTGTTGGCTCAGGTTGTGATCTCACGGTTCGTGAGTTCAAGCCCCACATCGGGCTCTCTGCTGTCAGCGCAGAGCCCACTTCAAATCCTCTGTCCCCCTCTGTCTCTGCCCCTCCCCTGCTCACATTCTCTCCCTCAAAAATAAATAAAACATTACAAATTTTTAATAAATAAATAAAATAATATCAACATCTGCAATTGAGCCCACGTTCTTACTTAAAGTACTAAGTAATCATCCTATACAGTTAGAGGTAGACTAGAACCTTGAAAGCAGATGGTAATTAATATCTTAAGTAAAGGCTTGATGAAAAAAATGTAAGAAGAGAAATAAGAAATAAGGAAAGGACTCTGGTGCCTAGGCTGGCTCACTTTTTCCCTGAAATGCTCATTTTCCTATTTCATTTTGCTATTTTAGGCCTAAGAAGGTTAATCAAGAGGTTCTAGATATGTTTGGTATTTTGATAAAAATTGTATTTAAAGTCATTTTATATAGCTCTTGGGGCAGCAAGAAATGAATGCTTTTACATTTTAAGCCTATGAACTCTAAAAATTCATACCTGTGGAAAAGATTTCATAAGCATACAATCTGGGAATTCACTGTATTTGGCAACCACTGATGGAGCTGCGCTGTGAGTACTGATTTCACGGAGAGGGTAGCTGTGTGGCTGCCCATAGGAGTTCAGGAACTGTCACCTCTGACGGACACCGAGAGAAGCCAATAAAAAGAGCCTGAGGATGGGTGGTGGGTGTCCCAGACAGTGACAGGAAGCCAGTTTGAGGGCAGATGGGTAATGGAAGAGTGGCCGTAACCAGATGAGAGAGGTCAGTGGAGCCAGACCTCCCAAGTGCCAAAGGTCATGCCAAGGAACTTGGATTTTCTTTCAAATGTATGACTCAGTGAGTGAAGTTGTCAGAGCCACTTTGGCTGCTGTGTAGAGAATTAAAAGAAGGAAACGAGAACCAGAGTGGGATGCCTTGGGTCATAGAGGTGAGCCCTGGGACACAAAGGGGCAGATCTAGGTGGTGGATCAGAATGCAGGAGGCAGAGGAAAGTGAGGATCAAGGATGACAACAGGATAGGTCATGGCGCCATTTATTGAGATGGAGGGACCTGAGACAGATTGCTTATGGGAGGATGAGGGACAGTATTAAGCACCAGTTTGGAGAAATTAAGTTAGCAACCCCAAAGTGGGATCCCAAGGCAGTGTTAGAGAGATGGAAAGAATATCCGAAGTTAATGCTAGCAGTGGGAATCTCAAGCACAGCTCAAAATAATTTTAAAATTCACATACGCTGCATTTAAAGTTTACATGAATATGTGCTTTGTCATCCTTTTCGCATATTTCTTGAGCAGAGATGTCATGTGTGAACACCACAGTGCTACTCAGTGTCAAATTAGGAATTTCTCTTTCTTAAAAAAAAAAAGAAAGAAACTGGGGCTCCTGGGGGGCTCAGTCAGTTAAGCGTCCGACTTCAGCTCAGGTCATGATCTGTGGTCTGTGAGTTCAAGCCCACATGGGGCTCTGTGCTTCCTGACAGCTCAGACCCTGGAGCTTGGTTTAGATTCTGTGTCTCCCACTTTTTCTGCCCTTCCCGCCTCTCATGCTCAGTCTCTCTCACTCTCTCAAAAATAAACAGTAAAAAAAATTTTTTTAAAAGAGAAACAGACAACTTAGTCTCCTACCACTCCAGGAATAGAATTAATGATTTAATTTAAGGTAGAATATGCAAATATAAATTTTTTAAAAGGAAGAAGTAGTATGAGCCTTGACAATAGGCAAGATTCAGATCTCAGCTCTGCCACTGACCATTGTGTGAGACTCTGGGCAAACTCATGGGAACAAATACGGGTCCCATTCTCAGTCAGCTCCCGTAGGATTAAATAGGTATTTAGCAAAGTCTTCTAAATGGTGTCTGGCACGTGGTGAGCCCCACATAAGCTCTTGATGTTAGGTCATCAAAGTGGAAGCTGAGGTCCAGAAAGGTAAACTAAGGCACTTAAGGTCACAGTTTCCCAGAAGCAGGTGGCACACAGCCACAACCTGGAATGCCTTCAGTTCCATCCTTTCGGATTACTGAGAGCCACGGGACAAAATGCCTTGTGCGTGAGGTCAAGAAGACTCAAGGCTCGTCAGGAATGAGGCACCAACACTTCATTATGCTTTCTTGACTTGCATCTGGTGGAATCACAGGAAGCAATTCCCCTCTAGATCTCACTAATCCTAAGTCCTCCAACATTGCTTCCTTTATCTATTTTAATACATGTGGGAATCGAGTCGGATTGATAACTTTGTCTCTTAATAGCTGTTGCTTTTCCTCTAAACTCAGGTTTTGAGATGGGGGTGAGAGATTTAAAAAACAGGGGGTAGGGGCGCCTGGGTGGCATAGTCGGTTAAGCGTCCGACTTTCGCTTGGGTCATGATCTCGCGGTTCGTGGGTTCGAGCCCCGCGTCGGGCTCTGTGCTGACTGCCAGCTCAGAGCCTGGAGCCTGTTTCAGTCTGTGACTCCCCCTCTCTCTCTGACCCTCCCCTGCTCACGCTGTCTCTCTCTCTCTCCTAGAAATAAATAAAAAATATTTAAAAAAAAAAAAAAAACGGGGTATTTCAATTACATTGGCTAGACCCAACATTTGGCTACCAAATTCCATGGTGCCAAATTGATGTTAAAGGAACTGAAGCTGCCTCCATCAGCCATCCCCATCCCTCCAGTAAAAGAAATCACATTTCAACATCACAACAATGAAGGGACGTGATCTCAGATGAGTCCCTGGGATCATGATCCTCAGTCCATCTTGTCCAACCCACTCCATTTTTAATTCTTCCAGGAATGTGTCTTATTCATCCTTAAATGCCTAGCCCTTAGGTGAATATTGTTTCATGAAGTCAATGCTCCATAGGGGCTATTTGAAATAAATGAGTTAGCAAAATGGGAGCCTGGTTTCACTATGGTACTGATAGGAAAAGCTGGCCTGTCCCCTTAAAAGTATACACCCTACCTCGGATTCAGGCTCTGTGGCCCCCTTCTTCCCCCTGGCAGGACCCCCATGTTCTGACACGTTTTCTCCTCTCATCAAAATTGCTCGGAGAAAATATCGGATTTCTATCTTGTTGTGAATTGAAGTCACTGTGTTACCTTGCTCAACAGAATTGCATTTTGAACCCTCATGCTTGTTACGAAGGGAATAATTCTAAGCCCGGTTAAAGTACTCTCTTCCATGGCAGAAACCATGGGAATATCTGGGGGGAAGAGGTGTGTCTCGGCGCTGCTGAAATTCTGTTAAGGCTGAGCTGCCGATAAAAAATCTGGAAACAGTTTGGTGATTCCTTAAAAGCTTAAACACAGAAGTAGCCGGCAGTTCCACTCCTGGGCATTTACTCGAGAGAATGTAGAACATGCATCCACACAAAAACTCGTACACGGATCTTCATGGCAGCCTTATTCACAATAGCTAAAACGTGCAAACAACCCAGATGTCCCTCAAATGATGCACACAGTCTGATCCATCACACAGTGAAATATCATTTGGAATAAAATGGAATAAAGAGGAATGAAACGTTGATTCATGCGATGGCATAAATGAACCTTGAAAACATTCTATTAGGTGAAAGAAGTCAGACACAAAAGGGCACATATGATCTCATCTGGTTTATATGAAACATCCAGAATAGGCAAATCCGTAGAAACAGAAAGTAGATTAGTGGTTGCCAGCGACCTGGGGGCAGGAGAAATTGAGAGGGACTGCTGCTGCTACTAGAATTTATTTGGGGGACAATGGGAATATTCTGGATATTAGGATAGTATTGGTAGTAGTATATTAGGTAAATAGTATATTAGGATAGTATTGATAGTTGCACAACCTTGTGACTGTACTAAAAACCACTGAACTGTATAATCAAAATGGTGAATTTTATGTTATGTGAATTATGTTACGTGGGTTATATTCAATCTAAAAGAAGAAGAAGAGAGAAAGATTGTGGAGGAGGGAGGAATTCAGGGCAGGAAAAGCAAAGGGAACACTAGTCAAGATTGGCCAGGGGGACAGTCTCCTCGATGAGCCAGGGTCCTCTTGTCAACAACAGATAATCTATACATGTGCTTACAAAGCCCGCTTTTTACAAGGCCAATGTCAATCACAAATGCGTGCCACACTCCAGTTCTGCAAACCCATACGAGCAAATGGGAGCCCCCAAATTATAAAGTGCCTATGGTATAAAAACAAAAAAAGTTATGATGATCTATATTATGCTATTTGGCATTCAAAGAGTGGAAACTTGCTTAGGCTTCCTCAAAAAAAGGGGAATGTATTCTGAGTTTCTCTCGGAAACCACTGTTGAGTCAAAGACGCTGTGGGGACCAGCCATTCTCTTCCTGCCGTGTGGACACTTCAACTTTGCTTTGCCTGTCTCCGCTTCTCATCCTTTGCTGCTAATGGCAGGTCCGCTCTGCAATCTGCAGGCCAGGTCCCAGAGGAGGCAGAGAGATCAGCTTTGCTAAAGGGGAGGCAGCCTGCGTCTGGTCTGGCTGCGATCCCAGCCTGCTCACACGGTGGCCCCCTTGCTGTCCCTGGCTGGTCGGTGGCCACACCCACATCCCTGAGCAGAGGCCGCAGTAA